AGTGTTGTTCTCCAGTGCTGCATAGTGTTTTCGAAGAATGCAATGAGTGATGGATGTATTTTGTACATGTGTAGAATATGTAGCAGCCAACTGTGTGGAACACTGTCGAATGCTTTTCTGTAGTCTATATATGCCATGTGTATGTTTCTGTGTTGTTTGTGTGCTTGTCGTAGAATGACTGAATCTATGAGTAACTGTTCTTTGCATCCCCTGTCATTTCTATGGCAATAAGGAAAAATCTGGATAATTGAAAAAATAATAATTGATAGTGAAAGACATGTATGTACAGTATGAATGATTTTTATTTGTCTAGATTTACATATACTGTAGCTTCAATATTAAATTATTTTTTATTAAGAAATTCAATTATTGTTTAACTTCATAATTTTTTCACTTTGTTTTTTTATATCTGAGATCGTTTACTTTCCAACACCATATTTATTAGATACAGGACGTCCAGACTCACTGCATTTCAAAGCATTGATTATATCCAATTTGTCCTTTAATGATAATACAACATGTTTTCTTTTCGATAACATATCAGTAATATTAAAAATAAATACTGTATTTAAATCATGATCAAATTTTCAAGAAACGTTCGTATTAAATTTGGACTACTACTGACCAGTACTAACAGACTGCCTATTGTTTAAAGGCCCTCTGGTGGCGCAAGAAGACGGATTTTATAAAATACAGTAAAAAGCAATTGAAACTGTCAAATTTTTATTCATAAAAATGCAAACTATTTATTGTCTTATGACGAGTAAAATTTTTTGTTGCATTCATGGCTTTTAAGTAATGCATAAACCTTCGAGGCACAAGCCCCTCGGACCGCAAGGCCGTAGGCAGTGGTCCACATCGCCCATGCCTTATGCCGTGCTCTTGGCCACAGAAATGATGTAATTTCAATATAAATTATTTATAAATATGTATGTCAAGTTATATTTTTATTACGAGGCAAAATGTATTAAAAAGTTTATGACCACTGTGCCGGGTGAGACGTTGTTGCAACAAAAAAAGTTATGCGTTCCATCACGTACATAAACAGTATCACAATTTGCCAAGTGCAAATCAGCAAATTCGTAAAATTTTTGTTTATTTTGAACAATCCAGATAATCAAAAATTCGGATAATCGAGGTTCTACTGTATTAATTAATACATTAAAATACAATTTTTTAATTAGTAGTACTGTATTAATACTGTACAAAATTAATAAAATCAGTGTTTGACATGGCCTATTAAAACAGCAGACCTATACAGTACTTATACTTAAAAACAGAAACAAAAGTCATTGATAGCATTGGATCTATATAAACCAAACCTGTTTTACTGCTTGCTTCTGCATTATTTCAATTATTCAGCTAATCTGAACAGGATTCGGTCCCAATTAGTTCAGACTAGTGGGATCCTATTGTATTTGTATTGTGATATTTATACTCTCTTTAATTAAAATGATAGTTTCCATAACTCAAAATTTTGTCAACTTGAAAAGCTTTCTCTATCCATCCATCCATCCATCCATCCATCCACTTCAAGTTATCATGAGTCTACTGTATTAATAATTCTGAAAAGTAATATTTTGTTGTTAATACTTACCATTGCCTCACTGATAAACAACAAAAGTAAAATTTCTTCATTTTCATCTTTTGGACAAAATAAACTGTAATTTTAAAAGTTTATTTAATTAGAAAATGTATGTGTACAGTTTAAATACAAATACAATTAATTTTAAAAATTTATTATTTTTTTCTTTATTCTATTGCACACATTAAGCAAAACTATATTTAATTAATATATCATAAGTTTCCATCCACAATAACAATTTGGTCAATCACCAAAGAAGGAATAATACACCCATTGATAAAAAAAATGACGCACCTAAGTAGAATTGTCCAATTACTGCAAAATTCAACACATACAGCTATGTAAATATCCAATAATTATATTTGCCTGATAGCATGCCAGATGACACCACCAGTATCTTAAAATTATTACCCCGTATCCTATAAAAAGACTTGTAGAGGCTCTCTGTCTTATTAAAAGTTTTAGTGTACAATACACAGTACCTGTTGTTTGAAGGTCTTCCAATGACAAGCATGCCTGTACAATGCAATCAAAGACATTATGCACAGTTGACAGAGTTTGACAAAGGCTGCATCATCTGACTGAGAGAAGAATGATTGTTTTTCCAAATTCCCCCATTATCTGGGTTGTTCTGACCCAACTGTAAGCAAATGTTGGGGACAATTGATATGTCAGGGCACACATACCTGCTTACAATTGCTTAATAATATTAGATAAACAAAACAAACAACAAATGTTATCTAGCAAAATTTTTAGAACTAGCCAAAATTCAACATTTATTACTGACATGAAGACTAATATAAAATAATTTTTAGAGCAATTATTCTTATTAGTAATATAAGAGTAATTTTTAAATAAAAATTGAAAAGTTGCATGTTAGTCTAACTTGATACTTAATGAATTAAGTACTATCTAGCAAGTAGTATATCTTCAAAAATAAAGCAATCAAAACATTGAGTGGATACTGGATTTTTACACAGATTTTTTTTCCTCTGTGCACTATATACACATTTCAGTGTTTTTGTCTTTAAAGCCAAAACACTTATATTTAGTATTACTACTACTCCAATGTGAGTTGTTATAATTTTTAAATCTTATATAATTGTATTGAAAAAAAATACACAAAAGATTGGAAAAGATTGAAAAATTATGTAAGATTGGAAAATTAATTCGACCCCACTGTTTTAAGTAATTTAAACTTTTAAATAATTTTTAACTTTTCCTTCTTTTGCATTAATAAGAATGTTACTCTCCATAAAAGAGAAATCCACAACAACAGAAAATTCTGGCTGTAGCCAATGTAGTATTAGTGGTGGGGCTTGAATGCTCTGAGAGAAGATGTTATCATTGAGATGTGATTATTGAAAAAAGCAGGGGAAAAGAGAGAGAGGTTTTTGAATGGAGGCTGCCAAAAAGGATCAGTTCTCTGTCATAGAATTTCATAAATAAATATTTGCTTATTTTTTGTTACAATTGTTGGATTCACCACAAAACAAATCAGGTATGACAACCATCAACATGATGGTTGTTGTACCTGACATCTATTTTAGTCAGATTTTATTGCATTAACTTAGATCAGCACTTGGTACATTTCTAATCACAACTAAGTTTTGGATACATATATGACACACAAATTAATAGAATTTGAAAAACTAATTGACAAATAATTTGCATTGAAATAATTTCAAAAATAAATTTTAAAGATGTTCAGTTAAGATTTTAATGTTTCCAATTTTTCTTTAATCTAATAAATGACAAACCATTTTTTTTCATCAAGAAATGATTACAGTTTAGAACAGAAGATCAAACAATATGAATTATCAAGTAGACAATCAAAACAGAATGTGTCTTTAACTATTCTGAGTGTCAGAGTATTCTGAAAATTTAAAAAAAATAAATAAAAATAATTTTTAATAACTTACACAAAAAATTTTTTATTGAAAAATATCTTTAAATCTTACTCTGAAGAAATTAAAATAACATCACTCTAACAATTTCCTCACTTTTACTTTTTTATTAATTGTTCCACTAGTAGCAAATCTACTGTGTGATTCTGCAAGAATATTTTTATTTTTAGCTAGAACTTGTGTGTTTAGATAATCTTTTAATTTTTCAATTTAAACACATGTAGTAAATAATATAAATAAATAAATGATATTTTTTTCCAAGAATAAATAGTTTAAGTTAAAAAAATTGTAAGTTATAAATTGTAACTATAATATTTAAATCTTCATGTGAATCTTGAATATTTATTCTAAAATATTTCTTACTTTATATAGGAGTAAATTTTCATGTGAATGAAACAAGCATATCTATAATTGATAATAAATACTTTGTTCATATATATTATTAGAATAAGAAAAATAATTAAATTAATAAATTAAGTTATTTATAGTGTATTAGTATTAATTAATAAATTACACATTTATAGTGTATTTACTTGATAAATATTAATTTTAAACACAAACCTTTGCCCACTATATTTACGAGGTTTCCATGGACCATCTGAACTTTTTCCATTGCGATTGAATAAATAATTTGAATAATCTTGCTCGCTTACTCCCCTTAATAATACTTCTGCTAATTGTCTGGACATTGTCTAAAAAGCAATAATACAATTTTATTTTATTAATATTTATATTATGTGATATATAAATTATTATGTAAAAAGAACAACTTTTGGTAAAGAATATTAATCTCAAATTTTAAAATGATAAATTTTGGCCAACAAAAGTCAATAACTGAAATCAATAAGGAAAGGAGTATAATTTTATTTCTGAAATATTGAAGATTGAGATAAAGTATCAATTAAAATATTGTATATGAGACAGAAAACTTAACAGAAATTATTAAATTATTAATACAAAGCAAAAAGATAGACAACAAGAGAAAAAAAAATTGAAAAAACTGGGACAGACTGAACATTTATCAATATTTACTTAGAAATGTTGAATCAATCTTTTTGGATATATTGGAATAAATACAGATCAAAGTTTGTATTTACATAAAACTTATATCTAATAAAATGGCACTAAATTCATGTATAATATTTTTACTTTGGAGTATTTTTAAGCTATATGTCTGAAAAATAACATATCAGAAGAAATAATAAGGAAAAATGTTACAAAATTCAAAATTTGGAATTTTTATTTAAAAGTTCAGAATTTATTTTTTATTTTATTAAATAAGATAATTATAATTTAATAAAATAAAAAATAAATTATAAATTTTAATCTAAATAACAATCTTTATTTATTATAAAATTTAAAGTTTGACTTTAATTAGCCTGAATATTATTAATAAATCTAATTATTAGTTTTTAACTCTAACTTTTTTTTAAACATAAAATGACTTGAAAAATTTTCAGTATCTTTCCATGAAATATTCAACATAGTTTTATTTAATGTAAATTACTACATAATTGATGACAACGGAAATTAATTCACATTTCTTAATTAAGGATAAATAATTTGAATTTTTTTACATTGAAAGACATTATTATATATCATCAATATTACTTTTATTACAGGTAGATAACATTTTATAAACTATGTAGAAAACAATAATAAGAGATATTAGTATAACAAAATATTTTAGTACATCTGAAAATTATCATCTAATTTCAACAAATATTAAATTTTATGGCAATATTATACATAATAAAAAGATATTTCTTTAAAAAAAAGCTAATGCAATGTTTTTGACAGATGTTAACACAAAATAGATTGTTGACTACTGTTAGAAATAAACAAAATTTAAAAAAAGAAAACACTAGATTATAATTTTAATGTCCTAAACACCTACACCAGAGTTGCAAACAATAATGGCACTTTCATGAATTTTGAAGCCTCACTTAGCATCAAAGAGGAACAGAAACAAAGCAAAATATATTCTGAATATGATAGCCTTAAGATAATTAACAATTATCTATCACAGAAATGATTTTTTTTAAACAAAATGTCAATAAAAATGTGTCAAATATTTACATCACAATAATTTTTCTCCAAGATTTCCTGTAGACTGAATGAACTACACCAGTTTATATTTTATATACACTTTCTGAAAAAACAATGTGATAATAAGAAAAAAAGGCACCTAAATACCATGATGTGATGCAAATAAATGATGTCCAGACTAAGATTAACTATGCAGAAAAGTGCACAAGTAAAAAATAAATGTGTTGTGACAAAAATTATCTCAAAACTAAATATGGCAAAAGGTAGATGATCAATTTGCACCTGTAAAACAATAATGTGAAATTTTTCAATAAACAATGAAAATATAACAATCTAAAAATAATATATTTTCAGATATTTAAATCTGAACTGAATAATGTAAGTATATACTGCAGTGGAAAATAAATATATTAATAAAATCTGATATATTTTAGTAAATACCTTATGAATAATTTATGTTTTTAGATTGTTCATGTACAAAAATGAATAATTACAAGTTCCAACAATAATGTTATTAACTATGTTTTGCATTTTTTATAGGTAAATACTGCCTGCTAGAATTGGGAAAGTGGAGGAAAGTTGTTAGATTGTATTTCTGTATGTTATTATGTATTTGATATCAAAAAACAGTTATTGATTAGAAAAATAGTTTTCAATGCATGCTTGTCTTTTTGCAATCATCCTAGTCTTAAATACTTTCTCTTGTAATTTTTGCAAAAGAATGGCTTTTATGGCAGAAATTCCATTCTGTAACATGAATAAAAATGTCTCCCACTGGTCCTGCACCCTAATGTGACATGTGCCAAATTACTGAATGTGCTGGGAGAGCAAAATGCCAGGTGGTCGTGTAAGAATTGTTACAGTATTCACGTCTACTGGAAAGCTAATGAGACCAGTTACAAAATTGTGTCCATACCCAGTAATAGTTAGGTTATTAAGATTTGAATAATTGTCGGTTCACTCTAGCTACTAAAGCTGTAATTGATACCTTGCAGGTGTCAAGGCTGGGGGTAATGTATAAACTATTATTTATTATTATTATTATTAGGAAAATTTTTATTTTATTTTTATTGTGAGAGGGCGTTTTTCAGTAAGTCGTCCTCGACTGTTGTCGCCATCTTGTTCGTGTGCCGAATTCAAGAGAGTTTAAATCAATAAAGATCAGTTTATTGTGCAATTATCGTGATTTCGTATAAAGTCCATTTGTAGCATCAACACGAGGTTATTGAGATTCTATGGTATTTAAATAAATAAAGTCTTTTTGTTATTTCTAGAAGCATATAATTTCTTTTTGTTGTGTGTTACATAATTAACTGACAAATTTTTTCATATTCTTAAATGAACTGCAATTTCATAAGTATTACACATTCTTTTGTTTTTATAATTTTAGTAATTCAATTTTTATAAATTTAATTACCTGTCTAAGTGACTGAGTAGAACTTGTTTCAACGGCATTTAACACTTTCCTGTATTGCTCAATTGCAGCTGGAAGTTTTCTAAAATAAAATAATAATAATTATTATAATAATAAAAACACTAATTAAAATAAACTAATATTTTTCAAATAAATCAGCTTGAAATTTTCTAATTATCTCTATATTTAATTTCATATAATAAAATACAAGGTATATTCAAAAATTTTCTAGAGTTTAATCATAAACAACATTAGAACAACCAGATTAGAGAAATTTTACCTAGCTTATTGACAACATACTATCATCATCCCATTAAACATACTCAACTATGAGTCTCTCACCATACTACATTCAATTGTGAGACTGAAAGTTCATGATCCATACTTCAGTGTTGTTGTTGTTGTTGTTTAGATAAACATCACTGAAATTATGGAAGAATGTAGCAACATAACCAAAGAAGAGTGAAGAAAGTGAATTTAAAGATTGTTTCTAGCAACATTACTGTTATTAACAGAAATGTGTATTGATAGAAGGAGACAGTTTTGTTTTATGATAAAGTGATTCCAAAAACTTCTTAAAATTTACTTTGTATATTGTAAAGCTTCCATTATTTACAATTTTAGAAATAGCCTAAAATCCAGGAGTTATTATTTCAGAAACTGATGTAATCTACAGGAGGAAATTATAAGCAGAGAATTTTACTTGAAAAATTAATAAGCAATAAAAGTTTTCATAATAACAATGCATATATAGAATTATTATTATTAAAGAGTAGGTATTCAGAGCTCTCTACAAAATGAAGTACAGTAGATCCCCCTATAAAAGCGTTTCCTATAGTTATGATTCCTATAAAAATTGTGGCATTATCCGTAAACAACGGTAAAAATAACTCCTATAATACGTAAAACGTCATCGGGCAGCCGAACTACTTACCCGCCGTCCGTAGCGCCACGCTACGGAGAGATTTCTATCGTCTGGACAGTATTATATAAATTATATATAAATTAGGTACTGTACATATAATTATATATTAATTATATATAAATTAGGTACTGTATATATAATTATATATTAACTTAATTTATTGTAACTTTATTATAATTAAATATATATTTTTCGCCGTCTAGCGTCACGCTACGGCGAGTTAGGCGACCTATCGTCTGTTTAGTACTGTAATTTTATACATTTCTTGTGAAAGAAACATTTCTTATTTAACGGCCATAAAAATTATTTATATTAATGATGTCTCCAAAGGTCAACGAAGTTTTCGCAGAAAAATAATATCAGAAATCGCGGCCGCAATTTGATGCGCTGTTCCGCGACGAAACCAAGCTTTAGCAACGAGCGTAGTCAAAGGGTACACACTCGGTAAGTAATCCTACAATTTTTTGTTTATAACGTAGTTTATACGGATTATTTTAAAAAAAATATACGTATTTTGGAAATGTTGAGTCGAATTAGTCTAGAATCGATTAATTTTATGAAAGAAAACCTTTCAAACAGCCGTAGTCCGTAAACTATGATTCCTACAAAATTGATTCATAAAGAACGGAACGTATCTACCGTCTTATAGGGGGATCTACTGTATTGAGCAAACTAATATACATACTATTATCCTTAGTATGTAATTTTGGTTTTCCAGAAAAACTTTCACTTCAAAATTCAGCTTCTAGAGAAAAATTTGGTCCCCCTAATAAGCATATTACATAAGTTTTCTAACAAATTTTGGCAGTTTTATTTCAATTACAGATGTGGAATTGACAATTACATCAAATACATGGTTTGATGTGCCCTGAGCATGCAGGTGGAGGCACCTGCAAGCTCTAAAAACCACATTCACATTTCATTTTTGTAAAATTCCATGTGGTGAGAGGAACTCTTCTTTAATTTTTTTAAGTGCCAAAATGACTTAAGTGCTGAACTGATATTGCTGCTTTGTTGATAGAAGACTTTAACAAGTAATGCCCAATTAGGCAAAGTGAATATCATGACTATTCACAGTCAAAGGATTGTGAAGAACATTTTATGACTCTTCTTATACCTGAAATTTATTAGAAAACATATGTAATAAGCATGCTCAGGCATTCGGGGGACATCAGCACCAAATTTTGTCTTAGTGATTGAATTTTAAAGTAAATTATTTTCCCAAAACCACATACATAGGACAGTACAGTCGACAATAACAATGTTGTAATTCCATTTTATATGAATTCCATGTTGTACGAGTCACTTAGACTTTACAAATACGTGAGCTGTTCACAGCCCGGCACACTTATTTGTAAAATCTAAGTGACTCGTACAACATGGAATTCATATAAAACAGAATAATCAACAGTGTATGGGGGGGGTCAACTGTATTGGCTTTGGTTAAGATTTGTCCAATAGTTATTTCCACAGAGAGTTCGGAACACCTATTTTAATTACCCTTTAATTATCATCATCCTTTATATCAAGAGTCATGGAAAAAATTTACTTATTAATTTGTAGACTATTCATATAATATTAATTTATATCAATGCTTTATTAACACATATTTATAATCACAATTATCTTCAGATACAAAACATCTTATAATGAAGTTTATTGGTATATGATTCACATTATAATAATTTCATTAAAAAATTTTAAAAACTTTGTATTATTTTCAAAATTTTTTATTTTTCATTAATCTGATAAATGAGACCATTATTCAATGCAAAAATGATGGTTAAAGCTTAATAACAGATTAATCAGATAACATTTTACAAATAACCAATTAAAACATATGTGGTTGGGTTGTACCTCAGAGTTGTCAAAATATTTCAGAAATTTAATTTTAAAAAAATAACTCTGCTATGAACACTACTATACTACACTATACTCTTTAACCTTTTGGCATGTGCACTGTTATAAAGGTACAACATTTTTAATTTTTGTTATTATCTTTTTACAGATTGATTCATATGCCTTCATCTCTTAAGTATTCTTCCACCAATACTTTTTCTAAGTACATGCAGAGTTATGTTTACCATCCTTTCATAGTTCCACTACTATTGAGCAATTGTAAAAGCTAGGTGGCTGTTGTATTTTTTACAATACACACATGCTCATGTGCAAGTTTTCTTTATGAGTTAGTTCTACTTTTTGTGGTTTTTGTGTGGTCTTCATGTACATTATAAGCAATGGCTAGCAACTTCAAGGAGAAGAAATACCAGAAGTTTTAAAATGAGCATTATCTGACGATGATGATGAAACGGATATTTTTGATGACAGAATGTTTGAAAGTGATGAAAATGTTGAATTGAGTAATTATGAAAATGACACTGAGATAACTGCATCAGATAGCAGAGAAGGTAATGATGATATTGAATACAATGATTGCCAGTACTATTTAGGTAGAGATAGCAGTACAAAGTGGAGTAAAAGCCAAATTTATAAAAGACCAAAACTAGGAAAAAAAAAATATTGTAAAGATATTTCCTGGACTAAGGGGTGAAACCAGAAACACTTCATCAGAAGCTGAAGATTTTTTCAAATTTTTGGATATGAACACAGTAGATGAGATTGTAGATTGCACTAATAAACAAATCAACAATAATTCCAGTAAATTTGGAAGAGAAAGGGACTAAAAACACAACATGTAGTGAACTGTTGGCTTTGATTAGATTGCTGTATTTGATTGGAGCAAAGAAAGGCAATACCAACATTAAAGAATTGTGGGTGACTGATGGCACAGGTATAGAGATTTTACATGAAACAATGAGTTATGAAGGATTTATATTCTTCCTGAGATGCCTTAGATTTGATGATAAAGCTACTAGACATGAACAAGGAAAACTGATAAATTGGCAGCTATTTGAAACATTTTTGACTCTTATACATAATTGTAAGGACAGTTACAATCCAAGTGAGTTTACTACACTTGATGAGATGCTACATCCTTTTACAGGGTTTTGTTCATGGATTCAGTAAATCCTCAAGAAGCCTGCAAAATATGGATTAAAAATATTTGCACTTTGTGATGCAAAAACATTCTATTGCAATAATTTAGAGGTATATTGCAGACAACAACTTGAGAGACCACATGCTATCCAACAGTCTGGCAGATATTGTAAAAAGGCTAGTAGTCCCTATTATAAATAGCTAATGCAACGTTACTTGTGATAATTGGTATACTAGCATACCACTGGTTGACTACCTGCTTGTGAAGATGATTATCATTTCTTCATATGATTAAAAAAATAAATAAACATGAAATTCTTCGAGTTTTTCTGCCCAGCAAAACAAAAGCAGTGAACAGCACCATGTTTGAATTTCAGAAACATAAAATACCTGTTTCATTTGTGCCATAGAGAAATAAAGCTGTCATTTTAGTATCCAGCATGCACGATGATAATATTGTTAATGAGACCAGAGATTACTTGATTATAATATGACCAAAGGAGGTGTAGACACTCTTACAAAATGTGTGCTTCATATTCTGTTTTTCAGATAATAAAATGATGGCCCTTTGTCCTGTTTTTTGTAATTATGAATATTGTGGGAATAAATGCAAGAATAATTTTTGTGATTAATAATCCTGGACAGAATCAAGTAAGAAGAGAAAGAAGAAATCTTTCTGAAAAACTTGTCTATACAGCTAATGAAAGAGCATCTTATTTCAAGATCAGAACTTTTATGCCTTCCACGTGACATCACAGTCTTTCTTCAAAAATACTGTCCTGAGAAACGCTGAATGGAAGATGCAAATGTATAAAAAAAAAAAAAAAATGGTATGTGTTTCAAGTGTAGACATAACAAAAATTCTTCTGCCTCAATGAGGTGTGAGAAATGTAAAAGATTTATCTGAAAACAGCAAGCAATCAAACAAATTTCATGCAATATGTGTTTGTAAAATAGACATTTAATTCATAGAATAGATGTATTGAAATAAAATATTTAAATCTTAAAAACTGATGCACTAAACTTTAATTGTTAAGATATTAATAAAAATATAACAATTTTTTGTGGATTGCCAAGCATGTCAGTCTATCCAGGGAAAACCATGAAATCAGATATTTCTGTATAGTAAAAATCATCATGTTGGTTTATTCCGGCAGAATGCCAGCATGCTAGTCTGAATGAGGTTATACATCATTCTCTAGAGGGTGCATGAAAAAAAATCAAGTTATGTCATAAAAATGAACATGTTTTTATTCTAAACTGTGAAACTTAGCATTAAAACAAAAACTATATGTTTAATTTCTGCATTTTGTCTTCTTTCTAATGATGTAAAATACTGGTAAAATACTCATGGAATGCAGAAAGTGTTTTTCTTATGTTTATTTTATTATAATTTGATCCAAAAACACAAAAATAAAATAAACCTTTCAAATTTCAGAAACTAGCTGTCAATTATCTTAACTTACACCAATTAACATCTGCTTTCTGTGAAATTTGAGGAAAGTGTTATTTTTAAGATCAAGGTAGTCAGTGCAGCCCACACTGCCTAATGTTAAGTCTGTCAAATTACAATGTTATTATTTTATTGCACTGGAAAGAATGTTTTCTTTAACATTTATTTAACAACTAGTTTTCTTAGATCTGATTAATTTTACTTTTTAGTCACAGTCTAATCTGTATGAGGATAACCCTTGGGTTTCTGGCATGCCAGTCAATCCCCAAAAAGTGGTAATAAACAAATATACAGATATTTAATCATTATCTAGAAATGCTTTATTTAGTTAATTAATGTGTGTGTGTATATATATATATACATTCTTACCCATTCTTAATGTAAAGAATAGGAGCCCTCTGTAATGCTGTTTCCAATATTGGTCCAATACGATATTCAGTATTTGGTGGCAATGGAGAACCCGATCCAGGAATATTCAAAGAAGATACTCCAGATGTTAACTGAGGTAAAGTGCCTCCACTCAAACCTTGTGTTCTTTCTACCTCTTGTAAATAACGAAGAGTAAGGTCGCTTGCTGTCACAAAACATTTAATTACTTGATCCTCTCTTTCTGCAGCTTTATATTTGCTTGTTGAAGGTAATGGAACTTTTTCTAAACATAATCCTAAAATGTGAGAGAGTAAATTGATTTTTTTTAATAAAATATTCTCAGATTACACTTAGATTAAATAGATATTCAAAAGTAAATTATATAAAAATACAATAATTTTACTTAAAATAAATTATGAAATTTCTAATATCATAAATAATGTTATTCTAATTTAGAGGCACAACTTTTATTTCTAGAGAATAAATTCTAATAAACAGTTTTTTAAAATTACATTAATTTTTCATTTCTAAATTTTTAGATTGTATCTGCATGTTAGTTACCATTGTGAATTGTATGATTATACATTAAAATATACATATAAAAACATTTCTTTAACTATTATCTTTATTCTCACATGCATAGTTATTAAATTATAACTACTAAAAAGAATATAATTTTAAATAAAAATATACAGGTATCCATCATATAACACAGTAGTTATGTTCCAAAAAATGCCATGTTATGCGAATCCGTGCTATACAAAACAAAGAACTAATGCAAAACATAGGGTTAAGTTCCAGAAGTTAGCAAAAGTATACTATTCTTTTTTGTTACTAAGAAAAATACGTTTATGAAAGCAATAATTCATTTAAAATCAATAATTAACTAACAATCACAATTAAAAGTACTGTATTTCATGTTAATATCAATTTTAAATGAGGAGGATTTATTTTTACAAAGTATCATCATCTCGGCTTTTTTGTTGATCTTGATTAAAAATATCAGCAACATCTTCATTTTTTTATTTTATCATAATTTTTTATGGATGATAAAATAAAAATAAAATATGTTATTAATTGAAAATTTGTTCTAGAGGGTCACATTTGTTCAGTCGCATACCAAGCAATTTTTCTCCAGAATTTGTGCTCAAATACCAAACTGCTGGAGTTGGGAACTGTTTGAATACTGAGATAATGCTGCATTTCATTTGTCATACCTTTTTTATTTTCAACGTTCTTTTTTACCTACAGTTAAAAAGAAGTTTATTTGAACAATTTTAGGTAAATGTTATTAAACTTTACTAAATATGAAAATTAATCTATAAAAAAAACCACAGTGACAGTCTTAATGATAAGTCTGAAAGCAATGACGACATCTGGTTGATAGGAAAGCTAGAACAAGAAAGAAAAAAAATTAGTTTTCATTACAGTAAATCTGACAAAAAGCACAAAACCAATTGAAAATTTCAATATTTTAACATTTGTGGGGAAATCTGATACAACATACATGCTTATTTGACCATAGAATCACCACCTCTTTGATGCCCTGTCAGGAATGACACCACCATGTCCCGATTGACACGGAAGCCACGATGATGAAATTAGTTGGAAAAAAATAGATTACGCGAGTGGCCATGTGAGTGAGCAAGTGGATTCAGATGGAGACAAGTGAGACAGCATTGGAAGCAAGACACTCAGATACTCAGTTAACAAAACAAATACTCATTTATTTTTCGTACTAGATCTACATGCTAACAGTAGCAAGACAATTTGATATTGGATATGAGAATGACATGGGACATGGAAGTGTTTCACGTGAGAAAGAGTTTACATGAAATCACACATTGTTATAGATACCTGGAGGTTTAGGAGACACTTATAGATAAGATGAGTGTTCAATCTTCCACTGGAAAGTTCAGAGCCACAGGGTACAGCTCAAAGGTAGCCGAGGAAAGTTTAATCCAGGACAGGAGTTGGAATTTTCCTTGGGCAGAGAGACTCAGGAGATGGAGGCAAACTGGAGGAGACGATAATCCATTAGTGGCAAGAGATAATAATCCATTATTGACAAGAGATTGTATTTGGTGTTTCTATAGGGAGACACAAGATTCTATATCTGTGGTGAAATGGGCAATGACTGTCATTATAGACTGGTGGTGACTTCTTGCTCAGGGAGAATTAGGCAGTGATTGCCTCTTTTGGCCATCAATTACAATATTCAAATCGGTAACACACAGCCGGGAGGTCAAGGGATCATGGGAACGCGTTGCTTTTGCAGTCAAGAAAATGTAAATTGTCAAGATGTTCTCAGGTAGTAGATGACAAGAATTATCGAGTAGGTATGACAAAATCGATGACCGATTTTTGTTTAAAGTTTGGATTCTCACACTTACTTTAATTTTTTTTAAATATTGAATAACAGAGTTTATACTTAAAAATTGTGAAATTTTGTATAGAGCAGTGTTTTTCAACCTTCTTGAATACGTGACACCTTTACAAGTTAAAAAATTCTGGCGACCCCCTAATGCCATATTAAAACTATATCAGTGATTTTAAAAACTATGTATTTAATTTTCTTTCTGTTGAGACAAATTATTGTTGATTAAAATGAAAATTTCAGTAGAATAATCGACAATAATTTAACACACATAAAAGTATGAAACTTCCTTTAATTATAACATTAGGCACAGGGAACTGTTGACCTTTTTTCCTTTTTTTAGGATCTGAATTTTCAGCTTTTTCTACTTTTTATTTCTTTTTGCAAATCAGCTCAACGTTTTTTCCGCTATCATTTTCTGGGGTGGGATGTAATTCTCGCTGAAATTTTAGTTTTTTTAATGTAGTCAACACTTGTCTTTTTCTTTTACCCGCGACCCCCAGGGGGGTCGCGACCCACAGGTTGAAAAACACTGGTATAGAGGATTTCCAAAACCATGTTAGAGTGAAACCGGAAACTGTTGTATGAGGGATTTCCCCAATTTTCAAACCGTGTTGTAGAAATGTCATGTTGTACAAAGGATACCTGTATATTCATAAAGCATTTTAAAATAAAATTTGAACCTTTAATTGCAAATGACTCTGCAACAATTTTCATTATACGATTAGAAAATTGTCTTTCTGCAAGCTTATCTAGTCCACTCTTAGCCAAATGATTTAATGCTTCATCATAATATCCCTGGGCAAATAAAAGTTTCGACAGCAGTAGATAAGTGTCCGTGACCAATCCAAGCTGCAAAACATTTTTTCAAGATATAATTAACAATAACTTCTGTCATGCATATACAAAAAATAAATTAATTCTCTTTCTATAAATTTTGTAATACAGTAAACCCCTGCTAACTTGGACTTTGCATAATTTAGACAAATTTTTTGAAAAATTAAGTAAATTAAAATTATAGTTAACAATACAAAAATTGACAATAGAAAAATTATAGTTAACAAGTAATTATAATTATAATTTTATTACAATTAATGTGTGCTTTTGATATCTGGAATCTTTGCAATACTGTGCATTATATTACTATAGTCAGCACATTACTAAAAACTGTATATTGCTGTATGCTATAACATTATGAAACTATTTAAGTTCATTTTCTGTAATAATAAATTCAAACTGTATATTCTACTAGAATTGAGTAAAACTTCTGTAAAAATAATAAATTACTGTATATCCATGTTCCCATTTTCCATGTCATACGAGAAAACACTCCACTAACTTTTCATATACTCAGACAACCTTTCCCCCTTACTCCTGGTTAATGGGGGTTTACTGTACATCACAAAAAAGTATTTAACAATAAAATTTCACTTAAAGCTTTTAATGAAAATAATTAGAAAAAAATGAAAATTAACATAACTTTTTACAATTTTTATATATTTTAAAATATTAAATAAACATGAATTAAATTAGAAGTATAGTATATCAGTTCAAACTAAAAAACTATTTGCACATTTTTAAGAATTTTTTTATATAGCCCTTTATATACTGTACTACTATTTGAATTAATTTATTATTTGATTATTTTTTATAATTTTTTGCATTTTCATATTAAAGCCAACTTTTTTATAGTAAACTGGACATTTTTTAATGAAAATTAGCATTATATATCACCAAAATATTTACCGAGCTATTTTTTAAATTATTCTAAAATTGTTTACTCACACTTATTATACTGGAGTGGAAGTATAGCACCAAATCTTTGTAAAACCTTCTAAACAATTCTCCAGTAGCTTATTATCTTGATAATGACTAATGTTTTCAATCCTTCAGCTAGATCTTCTTCAGGTCAAACATAAACGTTGCATTTTAAAAATGTTCCTTTAATGGAATGCGTCTCCAGGTAAAATCCAGATTAGAAATGTGTCCCACTTTATAACAATGATATCATGCAGCAAATTTAACCTGAAGATGCATTCAATTAACAAAACATTTTAAAATTGCAATATTTATATTTGACCTGAAGAAGATCTAGATGAAGGATCAAAAACATTAGTCGTTATCAAGATAATACACTACTGAAGAATTGCTTACAAGGTATTACAAAGAAGGTTTGGTGCTATTCTGAAATTAATTAAAACATAATTTAGACAACAGAAATATGCAAATTACCATATTTTAATGGTTAAGAATTTTAAACAAAAAACTTTATTTTTATACAAATCAAACTGAGCTAATTTTATTATATCTCATTTCTAAATTTCTAATCCAGTCTCTAAGTGTTACTTCTTCACAGATTTAATTTTACAGTACAATTAGAAAAAGCAGGCAAAAGAATTAATTATTTTATTATTTTTATATAAATATAATAACCATTGTAATAATAAACAAGAATAAAAATCTAATGAAAGCCATCATGATTAAAAAAAATGACCATTCAAGTGAAAAATAAACTGTCACACAGTAAGAAATTATCAATCATATATTTTATGAATAATAATAATAATAACTCTCCCGTGGTCACCACCTGGTCATGGTGGGAGAGCCCAGTAATTTTACTGAACCATAGAGCAATGTAGGCTGGAGCACACGCTCCTGGTAGGGACACCCATGCCAGTAAGGTCTATGGGGAGAAATGAAGCTAAGAGTGACCACACCCACATTCTGTGGAGATAATTATTATGGTAGTAACCAGATCAAAGTGTGATACCGGCTCGGCTTTTCATGTGGAGAATGTGTTTTTACCTTTACACTTGTATATAAGCTTATTTGTTTTGTTAAATAATAAATTTTAATATATATTATATTTATACATATATAGTAAAATATGTACACTATACTGAATACAATTAAAATAAAAAATATATGCTTTATATATTTTATTCAAAAATACTAACCTTTGCACCTTGTTCACTCAAACATGATACTAAATATCTTTTTGCTTCTGTTAATCCTGTTTTAGCTTTAGCAACATTTTGTTCCACAGGTACATATTCTTCTAAATACTGTTCTAATTTACTTTCACCTATTAAGAAGCTCACTAATGTATCTGTAAATTAAAATAATGATAAAATTATATTATCGTACACAAAATACATTCACTATAGAGTTATAAACATTGTAATAAATAGATAGTTTGTAATAATGCCAAAATATACAAATAGTAAATATATACAAAAACCAGAATGCTAATGTAATAAAAATATATACAAATGATACAGAGAAAAAACTAAATAAATATTATTAATTGAAAAATACAAATGTCTGACATTGAAAGTTGAAGCTAAAAGAAAAAGATTTTTAAAAACTTTACTTAAGCATTTAAATACAATTAATTTGAATGTAACCTTCAATGAATCAAAAAAACAATACAAAATCTAAATATATAAAATTACTGACTGACTGATTGATTCATCATTGCCTAGAGCAAACCACTGAACCTAAAGAGGTGAAATTTGGTACACAGAGTATGTCATGAAAATGCACACTAAGAAAGGATTTTTTCCTCTCCCTCTCTCCCCATGGGGGAGAGGGAGAGGATTAAGGTTTAACCTGAAGAACGGTTTCTACTGTACTATTTTAGATGCAATTTTTTGTTTTCAACTACATTTAGTCTTCATTGAGTACTTAGGTGTATTAAATTGATAACATTTCAGCCATTGTTATAAATATTTTTATATATTTTGATTTTTTAACCGAATGTTCGAATCGTTTTAAATTAAAATTTGTTATTGCATATTGGTTTGATTATAGAATGATTGTAAACATTCTAGAAAATTGATCAAATTGAAAACAGTTTGTTTGATTCTCAACAATTCTCATCATTCTCAGCAGTAGATGTTATATAACAATTACTATGGTTGTTGAAATACTGAATATAAATGGTGTTTGCTTGCAAAATCCACATGGGCGAAGTCACAGTAACAGCTAGTCTATCTATAAAAGTAAATGGTGTTGCAATTATATAAATATTATATAAATATTTAAATGATTTTAACTTATGTATTGAAATACATTATGAAAAACATTTTGTAAATTATAACCTCCGTACATTTTAATAATAGTGTGACTGATTTTCTTCAGGACTGGCGATACGGCTACACACTGTTACTGGAATCTGCAATTTCTCAATCTATAAATGAAGATCAAGTCAGCCTAAGTCAGAGTAATTACCATCCTTGGTATATAGATATCCTAAAATTACCATCCTCCCAACCATACATGAATAAACTGATAAATCTTAGTGTGAAAAGATTAGTATCCCAACTACATCTCAATAAATATTCACTTTTCATTAGTAACATCTATATCAATTTTTCAAACAACCAATGCTTCTGGTGCAAATCCGATGATTTCTCAATGCAACATCTACTACAAAATTGTCAAAGTTTTGCAAATACACAAGATTCATACAATATCACGTGTATTCTTCAATGTAGTCCATCTCTCGATTTCAGAAATAACTTAAAAAACCTTAATAAAAAAGACCTTTATAATCTATATAATTATTTCATCAAAATCATAGAAATAATAAAACCTACTCAATATATTTCAACATTGAATAAAAGTCAATTGTATCTGTATCGTTACTTCTGATAAAATTGTATTCTTTGTTTTTGTTACAACAGGATTACATGGTACCTACTGTATTTATGTGTATAAATTTGATAATTTGTAAGCTGCTACAGTACCTTTGTAAATTTTTCTTCAAAATATGTATTAAACCCTGCAACAGGGAAACTCCCTTTTTTGCTAATAAAGTTTGATAATAGTGTGACTGATTTTAAAAGAAATTAATTCATTAATTTCCTGAAATCAAATAAATAAGTTAGAACTGTTAAAAATTACATATTTAACATTTTTGTTTTTGAAAAGTCTTCAAGCTTCAGCATTAGATATATTCAAAATAAGTATTCATAGAATACAAAACAATTTTATAAATATTTATGTAATTGTAAATAAAATCCAAAGTGAACTCTTATCTAGTGACACATGAACAGTAGCTACACATTACTTTTTATATTCAGTATTTACAAGGATTTAAAGTATCAAATATACTTTCTAAAATATTCATTATTCTTGGAATTTCAATGTAATGAAGAAAGAGAAAAATAAATATTGATTATTGCCACATATGTATCATGAATTTATAGATATATTTGATTAGAAAATTTTGCACATCAGAGAAATACAAAACCATAAAATAAAATTAATTTATCTGTTAATATGATTGTATTTTTAGAAATATTTTAATTCTTTAGTTTAATCTGAATATAGATAATTCTTGTGAATTGTATAAAATATACAATTCACAAGAATTTTCTATTTATGGGACATAATCAATAGCAATTACTTTGAAAAAATATACCTCAATTTATATTACAGATTTCTGTTTCTATTAGAAATATGAAGAGAAATTTAGAAGAAATTTGAAATTTAAAAGTCAGTAATAAGTAATATAGTGTCAAAACATTTTGTGTAATTGTGAACTGCTTCAAATAGAGATTTAAGTAGTTCAATAATACAAATATTTAATGATTAGTGAGCAATTTACTTAAAAGTAATGATTTTATATATCATTATTCCAATTTAATAAATTAAGTGGAACAGTGATGTATAAAACCACTAATGTACATTATTCTACTTTACTATTCTACTTTACATTATTCTACTTTACATAAAATTATATTTATAAATCTAAAAAAAAGCTGATGAATTTATAGATTTAAAAATTTAATTAAATTTTAACAAATACATTAACAAAATTCAATAATTTAACATAATAACAGATAACTTAATAAACAATATTTGATAATATTCAACTTCATTACAACTTTATCATATACTGAAATAGATTGAAAATTTGTGTAATGAAGTCATTCAATGAAAGTAAAATATGAACATTTTAAAAATAAAACATCAACAATAATATTAAAAAATGATTCTGAAACAATTATTTTTTATATTTTAAATAAGTTATCCTAATTCTGTGAGTCAAGTAACAAACTTTCCTACTTTTTATTTCTATTGATGTATATAAATTTCATATGTCATATATAAAAATTAAACTTAATGGCTTTAGCTTTTCGGTAATAAGTTTTAAAAATGCAATTCTGACCTATTATTTAAAAAATAAAAAGCTAAAAATAAAATAAGAATTTGATTGAAATATGTAATTAATGTAATATATTAAATGTTTAAAATACTAAAAATAATAAACAATGATATTGGTAGTATTATACACTATACAATATATTCATTCTGAAACAATAACATTTAACATTATAGATACAGCAGTAAATTAGGTTAAAGTCAGGTTGTTCAGTTTGTTCAGGGTCTGACATATGCTGGACTGCCTTGCCCATAAAAGATTTTTAGGGTTTATCAAATTGTCCAGATGCTATCTGGCAAATAATTAAAAAAAATAAAAGAAAAGAAAATTAATATTTAAAACTTGTTGTTATAAACATGAAATCAATTGTATAGTTGCAAATTCATTTAAAGTAACAATTTAATTAATAAAAATGTATTTCATTCATTCATATATCATTAATTAATTATTAATGACTAAAAATATGTTTTTCCCACTATGATAACAACAGTAAATTTTTGTTTACATTTACAAAATCTAAAACTGTTGTTGAAAAAAATTTTATTAAGACACATAATGTACAAAATATTTTTATACTGAAAGTTTCATATTACAAATATTTAAACCTTCCAAATGACAAATGAAAATGTTCAAATTAGAGTTTGGTTTTTAAAACTAAATCAACTGAAGATGCTTAAATTGAAAAGTAAGTTAAACTACTTTTAATATAAGTTAAATTATATATATATATTTAGTAACTCTCCAAAACTGGGATAGAATAAATATATACAACCAAATCACTACANCAATAGAAGTCTGCCTCCTGCCAAACTACTTAGTAATTATTTAGCCTTAATAGCCTGATAAAGGCTACTGGCCGCCAAACAGTCCTTTAAAAAAAAAACACAAAAATTTTCAATTAAAAATATAAACAATTAAAGAGAGAATGACCTGGTGAAATGATCAAGAAATGGAAATTTATAATATAATAAAAATGTTTAGTAGTGTATCATGGATTATGTAAATCAATTTATTAATATACTGTGTTAAACTGATTCTCCACAAGAAAAAGCTGATTCATTTTAGTTCTGCAACTTCAATTTATGAGTACTTGATATATGAGAATTTGATATGAGCTGCTTATTTTATTTCTCATTTCCATTTATGAGACAAAATTCTTGATACAATCAGTACTAATTAATTGTTTCAGTACTTATCATAACAACATTTGTAAAAATAAAATATTCTAATCATATCTGTAATGAGACTGAAATTTGTCCATATTCTGATTAGAAAGTTCATCAGTTCCAATCTCCATTTTCTTTGTTTCATTTACACTGTGTATTTGTTCATTAGAGATAATGTAGTACAATTATGCAATTTAATAAACTTTATATTATATTTAAATTTCCACTTCTATTCTGTTTTTCAAATATTAAGAGGAGGTAATAAAAAATGTTAACAAAATGTTTTTGTTAAATGAATACTATAAACATATATTAAATATGTGGTTCACAAAATTACAATATAAAAGAAAAAAAAGAAATAGGAGTATAGAAAGCAAAATTACAGAACCAGGCATTTAGCAAAGTAACTTATATTCAGAAACTTTTTGAAGAAATTAAGAAAATACTTTATCAATATAATATAGTATTGATCCTGGAACAAAAAATAGAGTAGAATAAGTATTATGTGAAATGAAAATACCAACAATAAAGAAGATAAAATTAATGACTTGTTAAAAAAGCAAGGTGTTATATATAGATTTAATTATGATTGTCACACTTACATCAGAGAGAAAGGAAGAGAATTACGTAAAAGAATCAAGGAACATGTTAGAGCAATAAAATATAATTATAAGAATTCGGGTGTTACTAGATACTGCATGATGAACAAATGTCAGATTGATCTTAATGCATTAAGGATGGTTCAATTAGAGAAAAATATGATGAAGAGGAAGTTATATGAACATCTAGAAATAGTTAGAAACAAAAATTTTTTATTGTTAATAAATGAGAATGATGGAGTAAATTTACATGAGTCATGAAATTGGTTTCTGGCTGATAGGAGGCAAGAGAGAATGTGTTCTGATTGCAATAGGAGTGTTGGTGAATGAGGTGAGGAATGAAAATAATGACAGCAAGGAGTGTGCAAAATGTGTTGGGTAAAAGAAAAGAACACAGGTACTGCAATAATTTGAAGCTCTAATTAATTTAATTTTTAAACAAATTAAACAATGATGTTTTAAAAAATTGGAAGAAATGATTTTATTATGGAAATATTGAAAAAATAACAATTGGAATATTGAAATATTGTGTAACGTAAACATTTAAAATTTTTAGTTGATGTATAATTGTAAATTTATTATATATTCACTAGAGTATTAAAAAAGTATTTGTGCTTCGTTGGGCTTGTTTGAAAGAAAGCCCACTGAGGAGAGAAATATTGTAATTTCTGAAATGCATCTGGATAAAATAAAGTTGTTGATTGGTTAGTATTTTTGGAGTCTGAGTATGTGATAATTCCTAGAGAATAACGATGTTTGAACTGGTTACATATTGATATTTGAAAAAGGGAATAGAAGCAGAAAGATAAATTATAGATAAAATATATACTGTTATACACAGTTTATTGTATAAACTGTAAACATATATAAACAGTTTATTGTATCTAATATCTAAAGAAAAGTTTGTTTGCTTGTTTTTTGTGCATTCAGAAATGATTTGAATAAATGCAATGACAATTTGCAATCTTCTTTGTAAAAGAGGTCAATGACCACTCTTGATCAAATATACTTCATCTTCATACTTGCAATGATCTCCCTTTCTATCTTACCAGTAAGATTGCAACATTCAAACATGAGAATTAATAGCATATTGTGAGGTTGCACTTAAGAATTTTCTGAGGATGTTGAGTTTTAATATTTGATTCATTTCTTGTAAAATCTGATTAGTTGGCCAACTAACAATTGGAATCCATCTACAAAAAATTGATAAAGGTATCAAGATTTTGAAAAAAATGATAAGACAAAAAGTTTTATAATGCCTGAAGAACAACTCAGAAGGGGTTTGAAAACATTTGTGTTAGTTTTTTGTTTGTTTTTTCTATTTCATACCAGTTACCAGTTCTGTGTACAATGTTAAGTTTTGAGATGTAAACAGTTCAAATGTAGAATCTATTAGTGTAGAGATCTTATTGCTTGCTAAATAAATAAATTAATTAACTTCAATTGGCTTATATTAGATTATCTTACATTCACTTTTTCAATCCTGATTTTACAATACAGTATAGGTATCTATCTATGTATGACTGATATGAACATGGAATTTGATTTTCTCAAATCTAGAACTTACTAAAAAATCCAGCAATGAGAGTTGAATAACTTTTCTGGCTGTTATGAGTTTTTATTTAAAAAAAAATTTTTTTTTTCTATTATTAAGCAAAATAAATAAAATTAATTGTGGTGCCATTTGTTATGAGATTTTGTTATAACAAACTTTTTATATTTTTAATTACCATACAATGGCAAAAAGCTTAATTTTGAGATTAGGGATGAGTTTTACAAAAAAGTATGTTAATAACAAATAAAATCATTAAGTTTTACCCCTCTCTAGATACGACATGCGACATCCCTTTATCTCCTCATCCTCTCAACCTTTAACCACCAAAATTTAATAGCATTAATGTCCCTCACATACAAGCCACCACTCTAAATTTTGTTTCTTAATCTTTACCCCATTCCAAGATATTAAACTAATTAGATGCCAATACATGCACGCACATCCAAGGAATTTTTTTTGCCTTTTTTTACTTTTTTGGGTTTGGGTGGTCTCAAAAGCGGAAATTTTCAAAAAAACTCAGAGGGTCAAATCTGACACAATTCCAACACTTTCCCTCGTCACGAACACATAACGGCCAGGAAAGTAACACAAATAAAAATCATCCAACTGTTGCTCCAGACCACAGACAACATCAAGAATATTAAACCATCGATCACAGTTTGCTGAATATTTGATGTGCACAAACATAATTCACAACAAATACCAATTTATACATAAATATAAATAAAAAAAGTAATATTTCATTTTATGTATTTATTCTTAATGACTGAATTGTTATCATTAAAATACAAATTAATAAATGTAATTTATAATTATAAATAAGTTATTCATTTAAATAATTTAAAGATCAATCATCAATTATGCGAATAAACTTGTAGGTTATAACCAACGTATTTCAAATCTTTGCAAAGATAATTTGTGCGTTTTGACTTTACTTCTAAAACTGAAAGGACAATAACTAAGCAAAAAAAATTTTATATAGCTAACTCTAACCGGATGTTGTTTGTTTACAAAATACGTAATTAATAAACAGATAAATTTTAACAATTAAACCTTGCTTTATATCATTAGAAACATTAACACAATAATTTTATTTTGAGCTAAAAACAGAATTAATTCAGACAGGATGATGTTAATTACAATAAATAATAGATAATTAATATATATGAAAACAAAATGTATATTCTTATAAATTTGATTTATTAATTATATATATATATTTTTTTTATGGACCTTACTGAATGATTGTTTTATACAAGAAAGGATTGCTTTGTTTGTTTGTTTTATTATGACAACGCGGCAATCTGCCTAGGGGGTGGCCTTCCGGGAGGTCTTTTTAAGGATAACTGTCCCCTATTTGGGCAATACGGACTTGGAGAAAAACCCACTAGCCCATCCCAGCCAGGTGCAAACACACACCTGACTCCCAGCGTTTGGGGAACGGAACCACTTGGCCACTGGTGGACCAAAAGGATTGCTAAATCCTTATTATTTCATATAATTTATGTTTGCTGCATATCAATCATTACATTGTGCAGTAAGTGCCAAAGATTTAGTTTGCAAACATATATTTTTTTACACGTTAAAAGCAAAGAAAAACATCTTGAAACTATAACCTTGATTAGTTAAAATAAGCATAATGAAACTTGTAAAATGATAAAAGTAGACCTCACCAAAGCCAGTATTCCTTTGGGATAGTTGTTCGGCTAATTCAATTACTTTTCTCCAATTTGACTCCTCGCGATTTTTTTCGATGTCGGACTCTAAACGAGTTGCTGTCTTTGGTTTTGATGTCATTGTTTATCATATCTTTAATTCCAAAGTTTTCATAATTAAAGTTACTAAAAAATTTAATTTAATTTCCGAATGCATCACGTTATTGTCCGTTCTCTCGACATCGTATACGATCGTAATTTTGAAAAATCATATTGAAAATAACGTGAAAAAATAATTTTAAATAATTAAAATTAACTTTTCAACCGGAGTTATCTACGACGACGATCATGATAACTACATATAAGAATCCACCTGGTGGTCGAAATATTTAAAATCTATCTTTTTTTTTAATATTAATATTTTCGTTTTATAAAATCGTTTTATTATTGTTTGATTATTCTATAACATTACTTTGATTCGTCAAATAATTAAAAATAATTTTTTAAATCAATTTATAAGAAAAAGGGATACTTTTTCGTTTTTTGACTCTCTGCCCTATTGACGCTAACCGAGTCTTTCCCGAGTCCATCGTGAGTTCGGTCGTACCACAAATGGAAGAGTGGTGAGAGACGAGGCCCGACATATCCAGAATAAAACACCTCCGAAAAATTCCTGTGATTGCTGATTGCTTGCCCGTACTCGATCTCGGATTCCTACAACCTACCGCTCTAGCATTCTTATGTATTTAAATTTTGGCCTCGGTCGTCCGATTGACCAAAATTTAAATGCATAAGAAATAAACTCATTTTAGTAAGTTTTGTAAAAGTCTGTCGTAGCAAAATCATTTTTATGCGAAGAATACTGACAGTAATTATGATATATGGATGTCTCTATTATCGGTGGTTTTATTAATGAGTTGAATGAACATAAATAAGAAATTACCTTAATTTGAATAAAACATGACAAATCGAAAGGCATATTTGATTGAATTTTACGTCTTTCGTGGCTAAAAAAAATTCCTTATTCGGTGGTTGTCGGAATAATATTAAATAAGTTATACAAATTATTTTGTTTCGGCTTGTACCGTGATTTTTTGATTGTCATGTATAATGACAACTAATGATGGGTTGTTAATCAACCATTTGTTATATTTTATAGATGTTATTGGAAAAATAATAGTATATTGTTATTTAGAAGTATACCCAAGGAAATACGCACGTCTCTTTGCGTATATTCCTCCGGTAAAAAAGTACTTCACCGAGATTGTTTCGTTATACAGATAGAATAAATTCCTGTCTGTATTTGTAGGACCATTCAGAAAAAATGCCAAAGGTAAATATTTTTCTTTTTTATAAAACCGTATGACGGATACTATATCTATCTGAGTCATGGAGGACGCCATGTGCTTTCCATCGTAAACTTACTACAAGCAACCGTTTTTGCTACCTAACGGCGCCTACTCTGACCAGAATATAAGAACGGGTTCCAGAGGAATTTTTAAACAGATGCAGGCGCGCGAAGGAATAAACGAACGCACCATATATATATATATATATGTATAGAAACACTGGCCAACGCTACTCTGACAACCATGTTTCAACCAAAACAGCCGAATCTACTTCATCGTAGGCACTATATTTCTACAATTAGCGAATCATAGTCAGAGCCTGCCCTACCATAGGGCGAACGGAGCAGCCGCTCCAGGCGCTAAGTCCTATCGGGCGCCTCAGTGGTAAAGAAAATTAAAGGGTATAAATTAGGGGCAACCAAGGGGGCGCCATAATAGGATCTCGCTCCATCCTAAAACTTGCCTCGGGCCGGCACTGATCATAGTGCATAAAAAAGTTCTTTTATAATATTTCTACGAATAGTTATCATAACTTATTTTATTTTTAGAGTTTTTTTAAATTTCAATTATATATATATCCATCTNATATATAATATTTACAAAGTTAACAAGAAAATTCGCTTAATTATTTCTTCCCCGTTTCCATGATTTTTGAATATCGTGAACAGCATGAAAAAATAAGTAAGATAGATTAATCTTAACCCGATTCGATATTGCATATAACCATATTAATTAAAACTAATTTTCGTGAAATATTTTACTGTCAGAAATGTCAGTACAGTAGTGGCCGATAGATTGTCTTTTGCGTAATCCTATCAAAATTTTAACAATTAGAGAATCGATTTAAAGTAAAATTTACAAATGAGACTTCTTTTCCCAAATTTCACTTAAAAACTTGTAAAATATATTTTTAAAGTTTTTCACCATCACCATCATCCATTCCTGCTGATACTCAGAGAGTGTACAGGTCAACATGGTGAAAAATCATTTTTATACTACCATCCACTACTTTTTTCGAAACTCTCCTAACAACAGACAAGTATTTAGCCTGGATTTATGTTAAATTCCTTCCTCTAAAGCCTGCTTAACACTATCAATCCACCATCGTCTAAGTCGTCCCTTTGGTCATTTCTCTTTGATTTTAGCTTCGAATACCTGCTTGGCCAGTCTGTCTTCTCCCATTCTTTCCAAATGGCCAAACCACCTCATATTAGCCTCACTCTCGATTGAATATTTGTTATCTTGAGGTTTTTTATATCTTCATTTTTAATATGATTTTGCCACTGTATCCATCTATTAACACAACCAATTTTTCTAAAAATTTTCTGTTCCTTCTAATTTTTGGTCAATTCCCTTATTTCTCACCCAACTCTCAGAACCATACGTCAATATAGGTTTAAAAACTGTGTTGTACACAGCTAGTTTTGTTTTATGACTTATTTCTTTCTTATTCCAGATATATTTGATCGATTGGTTCCCTACCTGAGCTGCCTTGCTTAATCTATTGCTGATTTCCAAATCTAACTTTCCGTCTTCGCTTAAGATTGTTCCCAAGTATGAGAACTTATTGACATGTTCTAAGCATTTGCTACCAAGTTTAACTGTTAAAGTCTCTTTCTCTCTACTAATAGCCATAACCTTCGTTTGCTCGTAGCTGATTCACATACTGAAATTCCTGCAACTTTCCTCTAAATTATTTAAAGATTGCTGGAGTCCTCGAGTTTATTGCTTAGTAGGACAATACCATCCACATAGAGTAAAGAACCAATTTTTATATTTTCCAAACTGAAGTTCGTCAATAGTTTTGATTTTTTATTATTGAATAAATTATCCATGAAAATTATGAATAAAGGGGGCAATGTATACATCCTTGCCTCATCCCTAGTTTTATTTGGAACCAGCCACCTATTTGTCCTTCTATCATTACAGCTGATTTGCAGTTTCTATACAAGCCTTGGATTCTCCTGAGTAGAATATCCTTGATGCCATATTTCTTAAGAACTTCAAAAAATAATCCTCTAGGCACTCTATCAAATTTCTTCTCCAGGTCAACGAATCCCAAGTATAGTTTCTTGTTATAACGTCAATTGCTTTCACTGTCAATTGCCTTAGTGTAAATATTTGATCTTGGCATCCACCTAAAGCCACCAGGTCTAAAGCCTGTCTGTTCTTCTCCTAGGTCACTTTCAACTATTCGTCTGACCCATTTTTATAAAATGGTGGCATGAATTTTAGCTGGTACATCGAGGAGTGAGATTCCTCTATAATTACTACATTCTGTTTTGCTTCCTTTTTATGAATTGGTGCAATTAAAGCTCTTCCCCAATCCTTTGGAAACATCTTTTCAGACAAACATCTTTGAATACTGTGATGTAACCACTGTACTACTGTTGTTCCTCCCATACTTTAGCTTCTCTGGTCTGATATCATCTACACCAGCGGCCTTTCCACAATTCATTTTTTTTAAAACTCTTTCCGCCCTGTGGGCACTAAAAGGGCCTCTTTTAGCAAGCCCATTATGGGTTCGGCCAGGCCCATAATAGGGCGGCCGGGTGGCAAGGAACCCACATTTCATGTTCTTGATGGTCTTATCTACTTCTATAATCGAGATAGGATCTGATAATTCCAAAATTTCGGTACTTTTCTCTTGCTCGGCTAAATCTGCCATTTCTTCATTCAGTAGCTGTTCAAAGTATTTACTCCACATCTTTAGAATATCTTTTTCTTCTGTTATAATTTCACCATTATCATTCTTTATTCCTCTAGCTATGGTTTTCCCACTGGTTCTGAGATTCTTTACTAATTGCCAGAACATTTTGCCTCCTCTTTATACTTGCTTTCTATTTCTGTTTCAAAATTTTCCTAGCATTTTTGTTTAGCCATCTTTACACAGAGTTTAGCTGTCTTACACTTAGCTTTATAATGTAATAGGCTGCTTGTGGTCTTATTTGCCAGATAACTTTTAACTTATAATCTGCCTCTTGTACTGCTTGTCTAACCTCCTTGGTCCACCATAGAGTTTTAACCTTTTTATCTTTGCAAACGACTTCCCCACATACTATTTTTGACGATGTTCTACCAATGTTTCCTTGAATTTTTGCCATTCCTTCTCTAAATCCATTTCGGTAATGGAGATGTTATTAACTACGATATTAACCATATTTCTGTATTTAATGGCATTTGGAAGATCCACTAGCGTAGCGAGGAGGGCAAGAGGGTCTATCATGTCCCAGGCGCCACTCGCAGAGGGGCACCAAATGCTCTCCAAGACAAACAAGATTTGTTTCTGGAGAGGTGAGGGGGCGCCAATGAAGTGTCGTGCCCCGGGCGCCAGTTATGTTCGCTACGCCACTGGAAAGATCTGATAATTTTTCTATTGTTATCCCTTGAAGCACCTTTTTACATCTCCTACTCTTAATATTGATAACTGTTTTTTAAGTTTTTTTAAATAATAATAACAACTTGTTTCTGTTTCTGATACTTTCAAATAACTACTTTGCCCATAACTAAAAAAACTATCGTAGAATATAATTAAATTTTTATCTGTTTGTATATTCTTTAATTTATACTGTATTATTATTTTTTGATAGGTTTACTTTTATATTAGGTTATTTATTTATTTACGTATTTTTTTGTTTATTTACTTTTAGCGTATATTTATTTCATAGGCAGGTGGCGCTTTATCTCATTCAAAATGGCAGAGAGTGAGTCTAAGTTGTCGTGGAAGGAACTCTTCCCCAGTAAACACAGTCTTGTTATATTTATTGCTTATATGACTTTATTTATTAATCAAGGTAAGCTATCAAATATGTTTTAATACTTGTAACTGTATAGTTATTTATTTGATTATGGCTAGATTATCAAGTGGGCGTGATTCGTATGACAGTACACAGCATGCAGCAGAGATTTCAGACCAGCTGTTTTATTACATAAACATTAGTTTTACATTATATAAAGTCGCACGATATTAGATGAGAAATTATCCTGTTACAATACTTTTGATTCTCATAAAGAACAGATTGTAAACTTTGATAGTTTTGTTTGGTTAATGAAACTGATTAATACCGGTATGTATGTGGAACAGTAATTTAATTTAGGTAAGTGGATTAATAAAAAAAAAAATGAAATAGATGCAGCTCTGAATAAGGCAGTTGGGATCTTATCATCAGAGTTATAGACCATGCCCACAAAACGTGTAAGGAGGTTCTAAAATTCGAGGGATGAAAACCCTTCATTCAGAACTGCAATTTTATCATATTATATAATTACTCGTGGAATACAGAGGTTTATATACAAAGCTTCAACTACAGATCTCCCTCCAGAATTTCAACAATTGGTGTAAAAAAACAAAAGTAGTATTGTATTTGATACAACTGATCAAATCTAGCAGACATTTTTCCTGTTTTACAATACTTTATGTTACTTGTGTTTACTGATTAACTGAGGAATCAGCATTTGATACTATTTAACAAGTTAACTCCTAATGCAAAAATAAATACCACTAACAAGTAAAGGAATGTGATATGGTAAACTGCTTTTAGTTTTGGTCTCTATAAAATAACTTTTACAATAATCTTAAAAAAAATAATTTCGTTAAGAATATGAAAGACAGTCAGTACTGAGACTGATTTTTGCATATTTATAATTCAACAAGACAGTCAAACAGGAGTTAATTTATGAATAAATTTGACTTTAGGATGAAATTCTTTTATTTTGTAATAATTTAAATAATTTAGTTTTTCAATTAATTAATTTAGAAATATGTAGAAAATAGATTAGGATTAAAATTACAATTCTCTACAAACTGAGTAGGCAAGGTATACAGTATTAGTTACACCAGTATAATCATTTCAAAATAATTACGTTTAGATGATTGTTTGGCTTATAAATTGAATAGTGGGACTGATAATGTATTTATATAATTTGTCAATGCTTTGAATTTAAACCCTCACTCTGATTCATTCTAATTTCTCAATTAATCAATGCAAAAATTCAATTAATTATTAATGTTTTAAGATAGCAACATTGATTACTACTAGTCAAATTGTTTAGTAAATTACTCTATTAAAATTAACTAGAAAGGAATTTGACAATTTTGATTATTTATAAATATATTTTATAATTTCATTACTAAGGAAAATGGATTTATGTAATTGAGTTTATATAAATAAATATCAAGTACTGAATTAATCAAAAAAGTTCATTTTATAAGGAAAAATGACACTCAAATTTTTTGTTTAAAAACAACTTTATTTGCATATAATTATTATTAATTTGTATAACTTTAGCCCATCTTTCAAGTAACATCATAATTTCCTGCACAAAGTCTTGGCTTTTTTGCAAAGAATGTATGCAGATAGCTTTTGAAGATGACACTGATTTTTTTCCATTCAAGTAGAGTTCTAGACATCCCTGTTTTCTAGGATTGTCCCTTTTTTTTCAACTGCCATCTAGAGACAGGAGGGCTTTATTCTAAAAACTGTTATACAGTAAAGTTTCTTTTTCTTTTTCCACATTTGAAATGTATTTCTGTCACTGGCAGAATAAAAATACTTATATATTGCATGTCCTGGAATTGAAGCATTCCAGTATCTTTCAGAAAGAACTCGTTTTGTCATGGATTTTATCTCTAAGTACTTGGAAACCCTACATTCAAGTGACTAGAACAAATGATAGCCTGAAAATTCAAAATCTAATGAACGCAGAGTGGGGAAGTATATCTATATTCTTCTGACAGAAACTCCCAACGAGTAATGAGATTGTTTTTCACTTTTAATCAGTATTGTTTTTGTTATTGATGTATTTAGTGGCTATTAAAGTTAATAAAATTGTAATATGAGCAATATAACATTTCAAATAAATAAGCAAATTTAATAATGCAAGCTAATGTGGGAACAAAAATAAATTTTTATTTAATAAAGTTTCAAATTCTATAGTTCCTCTTCAGTTAATCTTAAAACATTACTTGATTAATACATTTTGTTCTGATTATGGTATTTAGATAAGGATGTTTCTATATAAACTATGTATAAGCAGTTGGCTATTTATACATATATCATTAAAGATTAAAAACAGCAAATGTACAAATATAAAACATTCAAACCCAATAGTTATATATTAAAGACAAATGATTGCCAAATTATATTGTGCTATATTATCAGCATATGTAGATTTTATTTGATATGGTTTACATAAACTGCAATAGTCATATGAGAGTAAAACAAACAATACTTTTTTTATAGCATTTTCAAAATATTTAAAAAAAATTTACAAAGTATTTAAGATAATTTGACAAAATAATAACTAGAGGAATTATTATTAATTTTTTGTATATATTGTTTTGATAGATGGTTATAAATAATAATAATAATTCATGACTATGCTATTTATTGGGCTGCAATTTGAAAAAATTGTAGACCTATAAATTTCCATTGTCATCCATTCGTCCATCTTTCTTTAATCTCGAGAACCTGGAGTTAAATAGATGAAATCCGAAACCAGATATGAAAACTTTAGGGGCAGGAGGCCTGATTAACTATATATGAACTTCTGACACAAACCGGATGTCATATTATTTCTATTCAAAGCTTTTTCCCGAAAACAGTTAATAGATAACTGGCATGACTCTATTGTTAAAGCTAAAAGTATGATGTACAGGGGCAAGCCACTACTAATTTGACGTGGAGAGCATATATTTTAAATTAAATAAATTGAAAAATATGATTAAAAATTGCAGCCTGGCATTGTGATGTCACATTAAATAATTGCTTGTAGCTACAGTATTGGTAATCTGGAAGTTGTGCTAAATCTGAAACTGATACCTGCTGTTTGTTGTACACAGAAAACTGTTAATTAAACTAATCAATGACTAACAAATCTGATTTATCATAGCTTTCAGATGTGTGTTCTAAAGCTGTATGTATCATCAAATTTTTTCATTTTAATGACCTAAGAATTAAAAATAAAAATACTAAATAGTTTTTTAAAATTCAAGATAACTACTACTATTTGAAGAAATTTATTGTAGGTCACAGTATTATATTTGATATTATGCATGAAAACTACTTCACTTAAAGTATATTTTATAAAATTAGAATTTTCAGTCACTGATAATAATATTGATATAATACTAATAACATGAATATTTTCATGTTATTAGTATTATATCAATATTATGGACATGGCTTTCAGGCCTGGACATGGCCTGAAAGCAATAGGAGAGTGTTGGTTCAGATTTAGCACAATGCATGGTAATTTAGATTGATAATTGTTTACTAATACATAATTATTATTCTTGTTAACAATTAAATAAAGATAAAACACAAAATGTTTGTTAAAGAAACCAAAAATCAGGATTTATTAGAAATGTTTTGGCCTACTATTTGGCCAGCTTCAACCAACTACAGCAGTTAACAGAAGCTAGCCAAAAGTATTTTAAATATAAGTACAGTATGTAGTTTTGTTCATTTCTCAAATAATGATTAGAACTGGTTAATCAAAGTTTTTATTTTTAATCTAAAATAAAATTAAGTAATTTTGATTTATTACTATTATTATTATTATTTTTTTTATAAATTTTGTTTTTATGTTTTTTTTTTTATAATTCTTTATTGTGATAAATAGATGCAATCAATTCTTATATGTTTAAATGATTTGAAATAAATTAATGGTTCTTGCTTTGTCTGACAGCTGAAAACAATTGTTCTATGCTTCAATGAAATGTTTGCTAAAAATAGATTACTATACATTGTTTAAATTGATGAAATATAGTACAGTGTTCTCAAAGACAAATTATAATTGTAATAGTTTTATTACTTGCTTTGAAAGATTGGATAGAATATAATAAATTAAGAGAGAATTTTTACATTTTAAACTATGATCATAAATTTAAATAATTAATATAATGTATTACATAAATTCTAATTTTTTAATAGAAAAAAAAATAGACATTGTAAATATAATTATTTAAAATGCAAAATTTGTTTTATTAATGGAAGGTTAAAACTGTCTGAACTTAATAAATTTAACCAGAATATTATCAATTTTTTTCATATTTTTACTGACCACATTTAGTTAATTCATTGCAAGATTGATCCAAGATGAATTGTAAAGTAAATTGTACTAAATATACTAAAATAAATTGTTGGTAAATTTTTATATGACTACAACATTAATAAAACAAAACACAAAAGAAATTTATAAGTAACTAGCTAGCTAGATATATTTGTAACCATTTTTCCTCAAATAATTATATTTATAAACAAATAACTTTTACACAAATTTCTTCTAAAGCTTTATATAAAATATAAGAAAATTTATTTACTTACCAAGGTTCACGTCAGATGAAATTAAATGATTTGGTCTGTCACCTTGAAAAAATTCAATGATTAGTATTATTTCATTAGTTTCACAATTGGTTTTACATGTTTCTATTAATTTTTATTCTGCTAGAAAAGCTTGAAAACATGATTTTTTTGAAAAATAATACTTTTTCAATGCTGTAAATATTTGAAATATTTAGTGCTGAATGCTAAAAATTTTAATACATTGAGAGCATGCAGTTTTTTCACTTTCAAAAATCCACATTGTCTTTTTCTTATAATTCAAATATGGAGGGATTGTTGATGATAAGAATGTTAAGATAAATTAATTATTATAGGATATAAAAATTAATAAAATGTTGAGTTAATGTGAGGAGATACATTCAGGAGAGAGCACATAAATGAGAATTCGTGTTGAGCAGAAATACATTAAAATTCCAGAAGATTCATCTTTAAACACACAATAACTAACCTAAACAATTTTTCAATTTATGCTAAGTGTAAAGAACTAATTTATTGACATAAATTTGTAAACAAAAACTTATTGTATTTTAAAAAATTTCATTGTAAAGTTAAACAGTTTTTTAAGTCTTGCATGAACATATATTACCACCATGGGCAAATGCAGCTCTTTTTGAGTTACATGTGGCTCTTGCTGAAAGTGCTAATTTCTGCTTTTTATTATTATTTTTACAATTTTATTTCCACAATTTTGTGAAAATATGTTTATTTAAAAAATTCAATATTTGTTTTATATAATATTTATATTGTATAATAAAATTGCGGTACAGAACTGCAGTACAGAATAAAAAAGTACAGAACTGCAGCTCCCATGCATTTTGCAAAACCTACATTTCGGCTCCCACTGACCTCTTGCTTGCCCACCCCTGATATATTGTATTAATTTTAATTTTTACATGTGTAATAAGACATATATTTTTTCTTTTGCATTATAAGACCATATTATTTTAAATTCACTTAAAATCAGTCATGTAAATTGTGATCAAACTGTGTTTTATTTTTATTTAACATTCCAATAATTAATACAGCCATTTATTTTTATTTGCAGTTTCAGATTGTCATTAAAATTACCTTGATAAATTTTAAAATTTTTACTTAGAATATTTTAAAAAAGAAAAATGTAAAACTAATATAATGTGAAGAAGAATTATAAAATACAAGGAGAGTACTGAGAAATGCTGGGACTGATCCTTAGTATGATATAATATTAAACATTATATTTAAATTTCAAAAACTCGCTGTTAATTAGGAAAAAATTATGCATTGAGACTATATTACTTTTAATCTATCAGTAATATTGATAAAACTTTTTCTAAATATTTTAAATTTCTGAAACCCCTTACAATTATCTTTTACACTCTCAGTTTGAAGGAAGATGTTAATTAAAAAAAAAAGTATAAATTGTAATTTAAATAGTAGCATTTCCTATTTTAATTTTAATGATTAAAACTATTATTGATCAATAAGTAATCAGAAAAGGAAAAAATTAATTAAATTTAAATCCACTAGTTTGTTGTGGCAAAAAAGTTATTGAAAAATAAGTTTTTTTTTTTTCAAGTTTATCAGGGGCCAAGTTGGTAACATTACTGAACACTGATCATGAGTTTGCAGCTGACCATGTAGAGTTTTCACAGTTTTCTTCATATATATATAAAACACACAAATAGGGACCAGTTTCCCCATAGAAGACATCCAAGAAGTCATCCTCTTGACAAATCACACTTGTGTTGTGTTGCCTTATTCCATCATTCTAATTCAAAATTCAATTTATTAATATTTTAATAAATTCAGAAAAAATACAAATTTAATAAATTTCTACTTTTATAAAAGACAACAGAATCTATTAATGAATTATAAACTTTAATAATTGCTTTTTTCCTTCTTTTTGAAGATACATAGGCTGTGGATTAATTAATAATTGGATAAATTTTTGTATAAGTAAAGACCTTGTTTTAAACTTTTAATAGTTTTACGATATTTAACAATTTTAACTAACCGAAAAGTTTATTTTACAAAATTGAATGTTTTTAGATAAAAAATGACAGTTCCTTAGAAAGAACATTCAGTCAAATAGCTGAATAGGGTAGTAAACATTTTCTATAATTAGATAATTTTTTTAAAACATTTTGCTTGTTTGTAATTTTTTCATGTTGTGTACATAATAATTTTTTAAATGGCAACCCTTTGAAACAAACATGTACCTGAAGTTCAGTATTACAAATATGTAATTTATACTTTTATAAATGTAATACAGGGTGATTGAAAAGTCCCATATGTGTGTTAGGAATCAATTTTATTTAGTGAGGTTAATATATGAAAATACAGAAGTAGTAAAAACAAAATTTATAATCTGATCTTTAAGAAAAGCAAAATCAAATCATGTTATTTACAACACATTTGAAATGGCCTCCACATTTATGAGTGCAGGTGCAAGCTCTTTTTACTATGTATGATGCCACCTTGTGAAACACCTGTAAACTGATTCTGGCCATCGTCATTATAATGTTCCTCTTTAGTTCATCTTGTGTGTGTATGGACAAGGCTCTTTTGAGATACCCACAGAGGAAAAGAATCTGAAGGTAACAAGTCTGGCAACCACTGGGACCGCAATCCCTTAAAAATAAGACAGTTGCTAAAGAATTCTTGCAAGAATTATAGAATTGGATATTTCTAATGAAACTCACCTGCAACATGTGCATAAGAACAACTGGCAAATAATGTTCACCAATGAAGATCTATTGTTCCTGGGAAAAACCATTTCACTTCAATGAATAAAGCTATACTGCAGTCAGTTTGACTTTCTCATAGAGTTTCTATTAATAGTCAGCAATCACTACAGTGCTATGGAAACATCAGTTAGATATAATAAAAATAACTTGACAATTTACATAAAGTAATGTTCTGATGTGTGCAACTTTTCAATCACCCTGTACATGTTAGGCTCAAAAAAAGATAATGCTCAATGAATTTCATATTAACTTACAATAATCATAAGTATGTTTGAAATAATTTTTTATATTATATCTTATATACTGTGGATTTACAAACTATTCATAGAGATATTTTTTAAACATTATAACTATTTGCATTAAACTATTGTCTTAGTACAGTATGTGAAGGAGCAAGATTCGAATCAGTCCATATCTTTGTGAATTTTCTTAAATAATTCATATTGAGACATTGTTTCTCATTTTACTGAAGATGATTTCTGATCTTATTGAGAGTCAGACTTGCCCATAAAAGGAAAAATTGAAGTTTTGCATTCCATAATGCTCGGATAGTGCCTGTTAACCAATCCAATCTATATAATGGCGCTATTTATTCTAAAGAGTATTGCTTCCTTCATTAATTGCATGTTGTTTTTAGGGAAAGAAGAGATTAATGTAATTTATTTCTAATTTGTACAGGGATTTACTTTTTCCTGTATTAATGAACTTTTTATAGGATATATTTATCAGGATTATTCAAATAATGCCCTTCTGACACACTTGATCCACAAAATTTTGTTTCATTCTCAAACTTATGATGATTTGAAGCCAAAATCATTATCATAATGGTTATTGTGATAAGAATTTTCTCAAAATGCAGAAGGGAAAGAGCTTTTTCCTTCAAAGATTAAAAACTCCCCATGCAATTCAAGCAAGCACTCATCAAGTCTATTAAAAAATTAAACAAATTATACATACAAGTTCAGAATATCTTGCTAAGTTAAGCAATGCTAAGACTTTGAAAACTGTGTACATAAACTGTGTACACAAGGGAAGCCTTAGCATGCATCAAGGGAACATTCAGCTGCCATTAAATTCACAATCCAATGCAAGAACATCAAAGCCAGATTTTTCATAGTTTTTGTCTTGAGCAAACAAAGTTTCAGTTCCATCAGTTACAGTTTCTGAACATACAAATGTCATATGAGTTATTACTGTAAAGTATTAGTGAAACCGTTTATCCATAATAAAGCCATTTATATAATTTCTGTATAGAACTTGTAGTAGAGATATGTTAAAATTATGTTTGAAAAAATCAAAAACATCTTAAAACCACATTTTGATCCCAGAATATCAAAATACTATAAATAAAGGAATTAAAAGTTTTTGACTCTCAAAA